GGCTTCTCCAGCGTGTTAGCCGTGGCCATGACCTTGGGCATCATGCATAGCCTCGTGCCCAACCGGCGGCACTGGATCTCCACCATCGCTGTGCCGGCCCTCGTAGCTGGGAACGTAGCCAACTGTATGACTGGCTGCTTCGCTGGTGAGTGGGCGGGGCGAGGGCGAGACTTGGCGGAGTTAATCGGTGTGGGTGGGTGGGGCATGTTAGACAGACCTGTGTTTATTTATAGATGTGGGCGGGGCATGTTAGAGTGGTCAGAGTTTATTTATCGGTGTGGACGGGGCCTGTTAGAGTGACAGACTTTATTTATTCATCGGTGTGGGCGGGGCCTGTTAGAGTGACCAGTGTTTATTTATATCGGTGTGGGCGGGGCATGTTAGAGTGACAGACAGAGCTTATTTGTTGGTGTGGGCGGGGCCTGTTAGAGTGACAGACTTTATTTATTCATCAGTGTGGGCGGGGCCTGTTAGAGTGACCAGTGTTTATTTATATCGGTGTGGGCGGGGCATGTTAGATTGACAGAGTTTATTTATTTATCGGTGTAGGCGGGGCATGTTAGAGTGACCAGAGTTTATTTATTTATCGGTGTAGACGGGGCATGTTAGAGTGACCAGAGTTTATTTATTTATCGGTGTGGGCGGGGTATGTTAGAGTGACCAGAGTTTATTTATTTATCGGTGTGGGTGGGGCATGTTAGAGTGGACAGTGGAAAAAGTTTATTTACCCTCCACTAACTGACAACTGACCATTTGCCATTTAATTCCCGACAGGTATCTTCTTCTGAGCGACAGGGAAAAAGTTCCAGCGAAAAATGAACACACCGGAGACTACACGTGACAACACGCTTCACGACAAATAACACACCAGAGACTACACGCGACAACACGCTTCACGACAAATGAACACACCAGAGACTACACGCGACAACACGCTTCACGACAAATGGACACACCAGAGACTATACGCGACGACACGCTTCACGACAAATGAACACACCGGAGACTACACGCGACGACACACTTTACGACAAATGAACACACCAGAAACTACACGCGACAAGAGGCTTCACGACAAATGAACACACTAGAAACTACACGCGGCCATGTGCTTCACGACAAATGAACACGCCAGAGACTAAACTACACGCGACAACACGCTTCATGACAATCCACCCACTATTATTTTATAACTTAACTAACATTGCAATGAACGTGTGAACATGACGGTAACAAATGAAAATATTCCTCAGCAAAAAGAAACGATTATTTTTCAATCATTGCCAGGGAACTCAAGTTTCTATATACAATATATCCGGGTAAGACATTCCACATCAAAGGGCCTTATTTTAGCACGGAAATGAATGGGGGCGGGATGGGGTTGAGGGTGGGGGTGGAGGATTCTTTTTATGTATACTCAGTATATTA